ACATCTCCAAAAGCTAGTGAAACAAAAGCAAAAATGAACTTTTGGGACTTTATCAAGATAAAAAGCTTCTGCACAGCAAAGGAAACAGTCAACCAAACAAAGAGGCAACCCACAGAATGGGAGAAGATATTTGCAAATGACCCTATAGATAAAGGGCTGGTATCCAAAATCTATAAAGAACTTCTCAAACTCAACACCCAAAAAACAAATAATCAAATCAAAAAGTGGGCAGAAGAGATGAACAGACACGTCTCTGAAGAAGACATACAAATGGCTAACAGACACATGAAAAAATGTTCATCATCATTAGCCATCAGGGAAATCCAAATCAAAACCACATGAGATACCACCTTACACCACTTAGAATGGCAAAAATGGACAGGGCAAGAAACAACAAATGTTGGAGAGGTTGTAGAGAAAGGGGAACCCTCTTACACTGTTGGTGGGAATGCAAGTTGGTATAGCCACTTTGGAAAACAGTGTGGAGGTGCCTCAAAAAGTTAAAAATAGAGCTACCCTATGACCCAGCAATTGCACTCCTGGGTATTTACCCCAAAGACACAGATGTAGTGACAAGAAGGGCCATATGCACCCCAATGTTCATAGCAGCAATGTCCGCAATAGCCAAACCGTGGAAAGAGCCGAGATGCCCTTCAACAGATGAATGGATAAAGAAGATGTGGTCCATATATACAATGGAATATTACTCAGCCATCAGAAAAGATGAATACCCAACTTTTATATCAACATGGATGGGACTGGAGGAGATTCTGCTAAGCGAAATAAGTCAAGCAGAGAAAGTCAATTATCATATGGTTTCACTTATTTGTGGAACATAAGGAATAACATGGAGGACATGGAGAAGGAAGGGAAAAATGAAGGGGGGAATATCAGAGGGAGAGATGAACCATGAGAGACTATGGACTCTGAGAAACAAACTGAGGGTTTTAGAGGGGAGGGGGGTGGGGGGATGGGTTAGCCCGGTGATGGGTATTAAGGAGGGCACGTACTGCATGGAGCACTGGGTGTTATACGAAAACAATGGATCGTGGATCACTACATCAAAAACTAATGATGTATTGTATGGTGACTAACATAATATAATAAAATTAAAAACTACAAAAAAAAAAAAAAAGTGGTGCTGGGTTACCTGTTACCCACTGGGGGAAGAAGTGAAGTTGGGTCACCCCTCCCACCTTGCACAAAGGTAAACTCCAAGGAGATCTGTGAGACGACCCTTTCAGGGGAAAGGTGTGAAGGAATTAGGAAACCATACGGGAGACTCTCTGTAATCGGGGCATGAGGGAGGGCAGCCTAAGCCACACATGGAAACAAGAGGCACTAAGGGAGAAGGAGCCTGCCCTCAGGGGGAACTGGAGGCCCTGAGCAAAGAGAGGAAGCAAGTGGCAGAGTGTGAGGTGACGCCTGGGGCACGTGTAGCAGACAAGGGATTGGCCAACCCTCTGCGGGACTGTGCTGGACTGTGGTGAGGCGCCCATCTGCATCTTAGACCAACTGGGGGGGGGTTGCCGAAGGGAGCCTGGGGCCAGCCCTGGCCACAGTGGTCAAACTCGAAGAGGAATGGCGCTGTGGCAGCTGAGAGATTGACCTGGTGAGGGCCGTGCCTGTCTGTGGGTGGCACTTCAAAGTGAGGGGTTGGTGGTGGAAACGGCTTTGAGACCCGCGCGTGGGGTCCCGGTGAGGAGGCAGAGTCTGAGACTGGCTGTATGGGCCGGGAAGCCGGGTGTCTGCAACCTCCTGTGTGTGCCCTTCATGGGGGCGGGGAGGGGGGAGCGCAAATCCCAAGACCCCCAGGAGAGGTGGCAAGCTGGGGAGGGCACTGGCAGTTGGTGTGCAGCCGGTAGCTACAGGCACCCAAAGTGGACGTGCTCAGGAGATGCGTAAGAAGCAAGACCGGGCCTTTTGTGGAGCTGGAAGGCAGTCCGCGGGGACGGGCCCCCAGATTTACCCAAGAGGCAGGCTAGGCTGGGGCGGGCCCCGTCAAGGCGGGGCACTTGCCCACGGAGTGTGACCAGCTGCAGCTTTGGTGCCCTTGTCGAACGTTTACCATGGGGAAGCCCAGAAAGAATCTGTTCACTGTAGCAGGCAGGTGGGCACGTTCAGTGTTGGTGGCCCCACGCCGTTTCATTCTGGATTAGGTGTGGGTGTGTGGGGGGGTGCACCACGGTCTTCCTGGGGCTGACAGCCTCTGAATGTCTCCATCGGGCCCTGACTGGCAGGCATGCTCCCGAACCCCCTCCCCCGCCCCTAGGGCTCCTGCCTGGCCCAGCAAGCCACCAAGGCATAAAGGGCAGACCAGGGGCCTGAGCTACCCGACACGGGGGAGTGTTTGGGGGAGGGCAGTGCCAGCAGAGGCACCGGAGGCTCTTGCCTTGGGCCCGGGGCCCGCCCTGGAGACCCTTGGACGCCAGCGGGCTTCCCTGTGACAGACAGTTGCTCAGGGGATGAGCAGACAGTCTCCAGGCCCTCCCTGTGTTAGAAGTCAGCTGTGGCCCCAAAGGGCCAAGGGCCTGCCTCGGAGAGGGGGGACAACTGCCTGTGGCAGCACTCGAATGGGGATTCGGCAGAGCGCAGAGGAGTGGGGAGGTGCCTGTTAATTTGGGACCCCGAGCCAGGAGGAAGGAGATCTTCTGCCTTTGTGATGTGCTTCAGGAGGCTGAGCATGAAGGGGTGTCGCTGAAGACAGCACTGGCCAAACAGGCTCCACTGGGACAAGTGGGTGTGGGAGCTGTCTGCAGGGCACCCCTGCTTGGGAAACACTGCCCAGTCCCCCTGAGGCTGGCTTGGGAGAAAGGGCTGGTCACATTAGCAACTCTTAGGAAACATGACAGGGCCCTGCAGCCAGCAGAGGAAGCCCCCCCGGGGGAGGGGTGCTGTGTGTGTCTGTGTGTGTGTGTGTGTGTGTGTGTGTGTGTGTGTGAGAGAGAGAGAGAGAGAGAGAGAGAGAGCCCTGCTGGGGGTGTGTTGTCACAGCAACCACAAGTCACATGCTGGCCATCCAAGGTGCCAGTGCCTGGGGAGAGGCGGTGTCCCCGTTGCGGGTTGGAAGGTTCCCCAGAGATGGTCCTGGGACCCGGCCCGCACCCGTACCTGCTAGTCAGCCCGAAGGGCGCGGGGTCGGGTACAAGCTGAAGAGTTGTAATCCCCCTGCCCCCCAAAGCCCGGGAGGAGGGAGGAACAAATACGACCATGGTGTGTGTGGAGGAGAGCATGCAGAAGGCAGAGTGCGGATGCCCAGGGCACCGTGGGCCGGAGCAGCAGCCCAGGGAGACCAGGAGAGGGCACCAGGCACAGAGGCAGCCCTGCCCAAGGGAAGCTTCTTGTGGCCTGTGCTGTGGGCCAGGGCTTAGGGGAAGAGCACCATCGCTTGACACGTCAAAACCCCTCAGGGAAGCTGGCTTTGGTGACGCAGGGGCCACGGGCTGCTGGGAGGGCTCTGGCAGCGCTCAGCGGGGAGGCTGCCTGAGTCGTCCAGCTCCACGGAGTGGTTCCGTGCACAGGGCTGGGCTCCTCCTCTCCTCCCAGGGGGGCCAGGAGCTTGCATGGGGGTGACGGAGACGTCTCTCCCGATGGACCGGCCATAGCCCTGCCAGGCACCCCAGCGTCTGCCCTACCACCCTGACCGGGAGTTCACGCAGGGCTCCACGGGCCCCTTCTCGGAGGTCCCCGAAGGGACCGGGGAGAGGGCCGAAAGGAGGTTCCCCCGAAGGAAGCGGGGGCCAACCCTTCTCCCTCTGCCAGCAACTGGGGCTTGGGGTCCCAAGGAAGGGAGTGGGCCCGGAAGTGGGTTTAACAGCCGCTTCGCAGGAGAGAGAGAGAGAGAGAGAGAGAGGAGAGGGAGAGAGAGAGAGAAGGACACCAAGGGGCCACGAGAGAGAGAGAGAGAGAGAGAGAGAGAGAGAGAGAGACACCAAGGGGCCACGCAGCGAGCGGCAGCCATCGTTGCTAGACCTGGGCACTGAATGCCCGGCGATGGGCTGCCAGGTGGTCCCCGGGGATGCGTAGACAGACCCCAAGGATACTGCCCTTCCTGCCCAGGCTAGCAGTCCAGGAGAAAGCCCTTCCTCGAGGGATTTCCCTGCTCCAGGTGCCAGGCACTGGGCCGCCGGCTTCCCAGGTGCTGTGTCCTGCAGTCCTGATTCCACCAGCCCCACCTCTGCTCCCTGGCTTCCGCCCCTGGCCCCCAGCCCCTTCTCCAGGCCGATCCTCAGCACTCCCGCCCACCTCTGCCCCCGCCTCCTGTGAGCGCCCAGAAGCGCGCCCCTGTCAGGGAGCATAGGCCCCAGGGAGTCAGCGTTGGTCGCCTACTTCTGTCCTCCTCTGCATGCAGACTGTAAACTCAGGGACAAGTTCCACGTCTCGTTTTCGCCAATCAAAGCGCACAACTTTATTGATGATACATACAAACGTGGGCCTGGGTGGATGAGGTTAAGTCAGTACAGCACAGACAAGGGGCGTGTCCTTCGTGGACGCACAGGTTCACCATCCATCAGCTCGCACAGAAGAAGGAGTAAATGGGAAAGAATTCGACCTAAGCGGCAACAGATGCGTTTTCAGCACGAGCCCCAACACGTGTCTGGTCTCCACAAAGCGGCCCGGCTTGGGCAGGGAGACCGCCACGGGCAAGGCCGCCCTCGCCCTGCTCTTACAGGATGTTCCGCAGCCACGGCTGGCGGCTGAAAGGATCCCTTTGCCGCAGGAGGGAGGCCGCAAGGGAGTAACCGCCAGCGCACACGGCCTGCGGACTGCAAAACCAAGAAGTGACTCCGAGCTCTGGGGGGACCCCTGCCTGGCCCAGAAGAGTGTGGTCCTCCATGTAGCAAGTGTAACTTGCACCCTGTGATGCGGTGACTGGCTAAGGCTGGCTCTTCAACAGCACCCACTGCAGACCCTTTGAATGAGAACACGGGGCTGTGTTCACCAGCAGGCTTTTGGGTGGATTCCGTCCCGTTCGGTTCCGCTCCGCTCCAGGCGGCCATCTAAGAGGCCAGGGTGTCGGGGGGAGCCTGTGTGTTTCCGATCCTGATCAAGAGGGACACGAATGAGAGCAGCGTTTGGGCACCCAGCGATTCCCCTGCCAAGACTGGCTTTTCAGACAAACCCATGGACGGTTTCAAAACCTGAACCTCGGCACATCCACTTCCCTCGGATGTCAAAGGGAACTTCAAGTCTGAAACGGACTCGGCAAGCATGTGATTAATAACTGTCATGCTTATTAACAAATTGAATCCGGCCTGCTGCAGAAATGAGATGCAGCAATGTGACACAGTCTCCCGACACACTCCATTGATGGACATCTTAATCTGGCCCTGGTTTTCAACCCTTGCATTCAAGTTATCCAGAGCACAGAAAGCCTTCTCCTTAGTAGCGGGGTCGGGAGTGGGGATGGTGCTTCCAACAACGGAGAGGCTGGTCAAATGACCATTGATACCGTGGCTAAATGAAAAACCAGCATCCTTGGGCTGAGCAAACCACATTTTCCCCTGAATGAAAGGACACTTAGAGAGGTCAAGTACACACCTGAAAGTTGTAACACCTTAAGCATCACAAACAATGTGATAATTTTATTTGGGGAAAGGGTGATTTTCTTTTATTATTCGGACAGTGTGCTCTTTGGGAGTCCCTGTGTTCTTACTGCTCATGGTTCATTCAGCCTCATACTATGGACTTTGCTTTTCTTAGATCTGTGTGTGTATGTGTGTTTTCTTTTTTAGATCTTTGACTAAAGTTCAGAACCCTTAACTGTCCTCACCTTGTCTGAAGCTTAATGTGGTTGCAGCCTCCTCTGATTAGTGGGTAAACACTGTAGTAAATTCTACCCCTGACCTCCAGACCTGTTTTCACTAAAGCACCTATTTGAGTACATCCTACAATTACGCAAGTCACAGAAGGTTCACCCTCTTCTAAAAGCTATCTAGTTGTGGTGATTGCTGGACATTCTTTTCCTGGACACAAATTGCACTAACTGCCATGCAACCTGGGACTAGGGGCAATGCAAGTACATAGATATTTTATCTGAGTTTCCTCAGATGGACATGTCAACACTCAGAACACAAGGGTATCAATATCTATCTTTCTTCACTGAGGGTCTTAATTTTCAAATGTTTCTTCTCTGGCTTTTACCTCTTTTAAACTCATTCCCCTGTTTCCTCAGTGGTACAACATTTGACTTTTCCAGCACCAAAGTAAAAAGGAAGGAGACCAATGATTGGGAGAGGAAGAATCTGAGTTGCCTCTGGACCCTGTATCCTGACTCTGACATCTTTATCCCCACCCCTTATCTCCGGGATATCATACTGTGTGGAGCAATTTCCTTCCTTCCTTGCCTAAATTTATGTCTACAGGTAAGCAAGAAAGAATGGGGATTGGTAGATGTACTGGCACATAAATGCCCTCTCTCCAGAGCGAGAACTCTAGCTTTCAAATCTCTCCCATGTAGGTCTCAGGCACACCCTCCTCCCTGTGCTCCAAACACTTTCATCACCCCCCCCCACCACCACCACCACCAAATGCTTACTTTTTCCATTTCCTTGCCCTCCAGCTACTCTCTTGACCTCACTTTCTCCCCTCAAACACCCACCTACCCCTCATTTCTGTCCCATTGATTTTTGTCGCTGCTTCCCCCCGGAGCCAAAAAGGATTGGGATTAAGTATTGCTTTTTTCTTTCTTTTTTGAAGACAGGATGGGAGTGGAAGAGTGGGCTCTGGTTTCAAGTTTGCTTCTACCACCCCCCTGTGGCCAGTTCAAGCCCCACATTTCCTTGAAGAAACTTCAGTTTCTAGTAAATATCATATACTGTTTCTCTTCCTTTCCCTTGAGTTGTGCCGCCCCCTACAGACAAACAAGGAAACCAAAAGATCGTCCTTTGTGAAGATTTAAGATCTGGGTGATATACCACAATTCTTACCTTTCACTGATTCAGGACTCTGTCAAATGATTCTCACCTTTCACTCCTGTATCCCAGCACCAACTCTTCCCCTGACCCCATTCATCATTTAGAGAACTAAAATGAGCTGGTGGGTAGCCTGGAGGTGTAGGGAAATCTGACTCTACCCCTTCATGTCTCTGCCCCCAACCCTACCCTGGCCCCAAGTCTCCCCAGGTAATGCTCACTCTCACACCAACCTGCACCCAACCAGGGAAGTTTTCTTCCTTCTTCACTCAGATACAAACACATCTCTCTAAGTTCAACAGGAAGCTGATGGCAAGACCAAAAAAGATCACCTCTTCACAATTCTTGGTCACCTGAGATACACATCACCAATGAGCCATGGTCCCCAAGTTCCCCCTTCCACCAGCAGTGATTCAAGAGTGTGCCCACTTCTCTCCCTTCCCCTAGCACACCAGACCTGTCACCCATTTATTTGCCACTCTTAAAAGCCAAAAGAAAAATTAATTAATTTTAGAAATTAATAGAAAATTAATTTCTATTTTGTTAAAATTTGTCTTTCTCTAATTTCCAGGGAAGGGATTTATCTTCTCATGGAGCAACTATTTCTCTTTATATTTTTTGTCTTCTTCTAGAATACAGGGGGCAATAGCCCGTCTCTTCACTCCCCCTCTGCTCAGCCACTAATATCCATCATCTCTCTTGGATCCAGGAGAAAGCAGATTTCATGAAATAAGTCATGAAGGGGAAATTTAAAATATTTATTTAATGTCTCTGCTCCTGTGTCTTGGAAATACTAGATTAAAAAAATTGTACATGATTTTATGTGTTTAGGAAGTTTTCTGCAGTGGCTTTTGTTAAAAGGTTATTTCTGAGCATAAGATTTAAGACAAAACACATTCTAGCTGCAGTGCCAACTGTTAAGGTCAATGGGACACGGAGATGAACAAATCTGTCTCTTGGGCAAGATCACCTGGCTTTCCAGACAGGCCCACACAAGGCAGCATTTACCATGCTTAGTTTGCTACACTCCAGGCTTCAAATCTTAATTTTGTCTTCAGCCCAAAAATATGCACAACTGATGACCTTACACACAACAGAAATGCATGCATATGTTCACCAAAAGACACATATAAGGATGTTCATAGTAGCACTATTCATAATACCCCAAACTGGAAACATTCTAAATATCCATCAACAGTAGAGTGGATAAATAAAATACAGTATATTCACAAATGGAGTTCATATTCATAAATGGCAATGAATATCATACATGCAACAATATGGATTAATCTCACAGACTATGTTAACAAAAGAAATACAAAAGCATATGTACCATGTGACTGTATTTACATAAAGTTTAAAGAACACACACAAAATTAATTTATGGTGTTAGAAATCTGAATAGTGGTTACCCTTGGGATGCATTATTGACTAGGTAGGGGGATGGAGGAACCTTCCACTATGCTGTTAGTGTTTTGTTTCTTGTTCATTTTATGAAAATTTATTGAGATGAACACTTAGGATTTGTACACTTTGTTGTATATATGGTATACTTTAACAAAAATTTACAAAAAGTCCTTAATGGTGAATTACAAAAATGAGAGATGAGTGAATGAAACCAAGCCTTCTGCTAATCTGGGTAAACAGAACCAAACATAGTTTTTAACTTCCCTGAGGGCACTAGAGGGCTAACAAGATGGTTAAGACTAACTGGCTCAGAACAGGACTGGGGGAAGTTGAGCTTAATATTAGGGCCACTTTTCCCAATGGAGCACATATAGTTAGTGAGGGGACTGCTGAGAGGCTATGCAGAATTTTGGATGGCCTATGGAGGCTAGGGAGACAGATATTATAATCAAAATCTTGCCAAGCAGTGTACCTGATGAAGCTCAATGTCTTTCAGATCGTGATGCTGAAAAAGCTGCACCTCAGAGCCAGAATAACAAGACGTAGACAGGCTGTCACAAGGATATCAGTTTAATTTTTAATAATCTCAATCACTGGAAATTAGAATAAGGTAATCCCAGAGTTCTAATACTCCTAGATGCCTAGCAGCACAAATATAAATTTTCTTTGGAGGGAAACAGTGTCATCCTCAAATTATTTCTGAAGTTTTATAAAATACAATATCTGACACAAAATAGAAAACAACCATGTACACAAGAAGACAAGACAAAATTAACAGGAATAATCAGAAATGATAGACAATAGAGAAAGACTCATTGGGGCCTCAGATATTAGAGTTTTCAGACATAGATTTTAAATAAATATGCTTACTATCTTTAAGGAGATATAGAGGATTTCTACAGATAAGTGAGAACTATAAAAAAGTATAGAACAGAAATTCTAGAAATGAAAAATTAAAAAATCTTAATTAAGAACTGAATAGATGGGGGGCACCTGCGTGGCTCAGTCAGTTAAGCATCCAACCCTTGATCTCATCTCAGGTCTTAATCTCAGGGTCACGAGTTCAAGCCCTGCATTGGGCTCCATGACCAACTGGGGAAAAAAAACTGAATAGATGGATTTAACAACAGAGTACATATAGACAAAGAGAAAATTATTGAACAGGAAGGTAGGTTGAAAGAAATGATCTAGAATAAACCCCAGAGTAACAAAAGAATGAAAAAATTAAGTATGGGTAAGAGACAGAGAATACAGAGAGTAGGTTTAACATATGTGTACTTGAAATTTAGGAAAAGAGGAAAAAAGAAATTTAAGAAGAGAGGAGAGAATGAATGAGACAGAAGTAATATCTGAAGAAATAATGGTTGAGAATTTTCTGAACTTTGCGAAACATGAAGCCACATATAAGAAGTACTTCAAATCTGAAACAAGATAAATTATAGAAAATCACACCTATTCATATTAAACTCCTGAAAACCAAAGACAAGGAAAATACCTTAAAGTGTTCAGCGATTGCACTACTAGGTATTTACGCCAAAGATACAGATGTAGTAAAAAGAAGGGGCACATGCACCCCAATGTTCATATCAGCAATGTCCACAATAGCCAAACTGTAGAAGGAGCTGAGATGCTTTTCAACAGATGAATGGATAAAGAAGATGTGGGGGTGCCTGGGTGGCTCAGTTGGTTAAGCGACTGCCTTCGGCTCAGGTCATGATCCTGGAGTCCCGGGATCGAGTCCCGCATCGGGCTCCCTGCTCGGCAGGGAGCCTGCTTCTCCCTCTGACCCTCCTCCCTCTCATGCTCTCTGTCTCTCATTCTCTCTCTCTCAAATAAATAAATAAAATCTAAAAAAAAAAAAAAAAGAAGATGTGGTACAGGGGCACCTGGGTGGCTCAGTCGGTTGAGCATCTGCCTTCAGCTCAGGTCATGATCTCAGGGTTCTGGGATCGAGCCGTGCATTGAGCTCCTTGCTCAGTGGGGAGTCTGCTTCTCCCTCTCCCTCTGCCTGCCTCTTAGCCTACTTGTGATCTCTCTCTCTGTGTCAAATAAATAAAATCTATTAAAAAAAAGAAGATGTGGTCCATATATACAATGGAATATTACTCAGCCATCAGAAAGCATGAATACCCACCATTTGCATTGACATGGATGGAACCGGAAGGGATTATGCTAAGTGAAATGAGTCAAGCAGAGAAAGACAATTATCATATGGTTTCACTCATATGTGAAACATAGGGAATAGAGCGGAGGACCACAGGGGAAGGGAAGGAAAACTGAATGGGAAGAAATCAGAGAGGGAGACGAACCATGAGAGACTCTGGACTCCGGGAAACAAACAG